TTCATTAGCACAGATGAAAATTCCTCAAATTATGGACAACAACCCGTATTGCAAATTTATTGTATTCCCCCAGGTATATGTCTACTAACATTTTGCAAAGATGAATAAAGATAAGCTATGCATATTCATGGTTTGGTTTGAATCTTCACACCCAAGCCAAACCACCACTTCAGTTTTGGAACAAAGAGAAAAAAGAAGTGCCATAAAACGGATCTACAATAAAAGCACTCACCCATAAAAGTGGACGGACAAATCAACTGGCTACAAGTAATGTCAAAGACAACCTAGCATTGAGCTTTTCTAAGACTCAAGCTAGGATGCTTATGAGAAGCAAGTTGCAACCGACCTCATATTAGTTAGAATATGCCTACTTTCATCATCTTTGAATACACCATCTTACATGTCGACAGCAAGGACAAGGCAACGAGATGCCACTACATCATGACGTGCATCATCGTGTCAACAAATATCAGTAGTCAATGAGGTCTGTCGACGGTGTCTCGTAAGGCCGTTAATGACCATGATCGCGAGACGATATCTCTTAATCATTGGAGATGAAACTTTCATACAAGTATCAATGAAGTTCCTTCCTTGACCATCAAGACAGCTGGCGTATCGCTATCAAATATAGAAGAACATCTCACCGGCTGCGTGCTTAGAAGGAACTGTTGGAACCGGTGGTGACCACCGAGTTCACAATCTTGGAGCTGGCTTGCAGCCGGCCCGGCTCGTTACGAGCCTGCGCTCCCACAGGTCCTAGGTCCACCGGAGCTGACAACATATAATGCCTTGGCCTTACTCAACCCAAAAGACTAGCATGATAGATGAGGATTCTTCCGCCTTATATGTTGTGCTCCCCCACCATCGCTACACGATGTGGGACTAAACCCCAACAGGAACGAGACCCATGTGAGCAGGTGCGACGTGGTGTCGTGCCCGGCGAAGAAGGTCTTGCACTCGTCGATGATCTCGTCCATGCTCAGCATCGGCGTCTCGCCGTGCTCCGACGCGCACGCCTCCAGCATGAGCCCTAGCAGGTCGTTCCCGTAGCCGGCGGTGTCCTTGTTGGCGAGGCGGGTCTTTATGATGTCCACGAGCATGCCCCTCGCCTGCTTGTCCAGCTTCCATGTCCGGAGGTTCTTCTCGGTTGGGAGGTACTTGAGGGCTGGGATCTGGACGTTGAAAAAAGTGGAGAAGGCCAGGTACTGGAGCTCCCTCTGCGCCAGGAAGACCCATTTCCCCCTCGTCGTAGCTGCTCCCGAACGCCGTGCGAGATCACGTCGGCGGTGAGCTCCTCAAACCGGCTGCTCAGCTCGATCTCCACTTCACCGCCCTTCGCGAGCTGTGCCTCCCACTCGGACATCATGGAGCGAGCACAGTCGGACATGGTCGCCGTCATCATCTTGAGCTTGTCCATGTTGAAGGCCGGGTGCACGACCTTGCGGTGGCGCTTCCAGTCGTCCCCGTCGGTGAGGACGAGGCCCTTGCCGAGGAGGCGGGAGATGTGCGGGTTCATGAGGTTCTTGGGGGTAGAGGCCGCCAGGCCGGTGCGGTCGAAGAGCACCTGCCTGACCACGTTCACGTCCGTCACGCACACGTTCGGCCTCGCGCCGGTCCAGTACACGAACGTCTTGCCTGCAGCCACGCACGGAGCCTCGTAAGTAAGAAACACAGCAATCCTGCCAAGAAAGCGTTCGAGCGCCGACGAAGGACGCAATACGCCAGCCACCAGGTCTGTGACGACTGACGACGACGTACCGTAGAGCGCGATCCACTTGCGGAAGTCATAATGAAGTGCACAAGGAAGCCTTTAGAAATGGAAAGCTCGAAGTGGCTTCTGCTCAGCACCCATATCGCATATGCTCATAATGTGCTCCCTAATTCCACTTGCCTATCATAGCATGAGGTAAGCATCTTCATGATGAGAGTTTCAGCATAGGTATTAGATGAGCTCCTTAAATTCTCCTCAATCGAGTTCGTCAAGAACTTCACAGTAGTCAACTCCATCATCTTTCTTATCGAGAAATTCTCCTCTTATATGCCAATAGGGATCGATTGCATAAGGATCATATGATCAAACTTAGCCAGGAATGTGCAAGAGGCACTAGTACGAGCATAAAAACATGTATCTCAAATATAAACACATGACCTCTAATTCGCATGTTCATTCAATCTTTTATTTAGATTTTTCATGACCTCTTATGCTCATTCAATCTTTATTTAGATTTTTCATTTTATATTTATTTAAAATAGATCTAGGTCCTCGACTATACTCTTAGTTACTATAGTAGCATAAATAGCATTTTGGCATGAACCATGACTCTCAAGATGTTTAATTACCTTTATCAACAAATTATATGCATAGCAGTGTTATTTTATAAAAGATGGAGTATTTTACAATTAAAACACATCATTGATGTGTCATAATATTTTAGTCAAAATGCATAAACTTATCCAAAATATGACTTATAAAGTTTATTAACATTGGAGTATTGATATAATTTAAAATAATTGTAAATGTTGTTGCTATGTGTTTTTTCAAAAGAATATTTTCACAATTGACAAATTATAAAAATATATATTTCTCGCTATTGTATGAATAATTTAGTTTATAAAAATATATATTTCTGAGTTGTTTCGTATGGATTTAGGATGAAAGGACCAAACTGCCTCTACATTACCAGCTAGGAATGTGCTTAGAATTTAGCCATTGGGTGGGCATTTTGGTCCATCAATTGTAACTTGGACATATAAATAGTCCCCCCTAAAATAAAGTAGACACAATATTCCATATTACAAAAAAAAATCCATTCATTAGCATTTGCCTAAATCCTCACTCTATATTGATCCAACACTTCGGTCAAGGACAACAACAGTAACATAATTGAGTAGTTTAGAAACATATATAACTTAATTTATGTTTATTTAGTTATCTTATATGTCAAAATCTATTTTAATTTAAAATTAGATTTTAGGAATAATTTAGTTTATATTTTATAGTGTCGAGATGGATAATTTAGATATGTGTTACAAGGTACTTAGTATTATCTTTTACAGTATGCTAGACTAGAGGTGGGTAAATTAATTGCAAATTTAGGTATCACGCTGTATATCTTTCATAATAGTCGAGGTTGGTAATTTATATGCAAATTTAGAAAGGTTACTTTAAATTATCTCTTATAATGACAGAGGTAGATAATTTTAGTTGTAGACTTAGAGGTGAATTTATATATTTTCATGACGGCATATTATTATTGGATATATTATAAAGATCCAATGATTATTATCAGCAATAATGGTGATAAAGTCTACCAAATTAATGGCTAAATTGTTTTGTTTATTATGAGATTTTATATGATTACTCTTTTTCAAAGAACATCCTATGTTAAGATTAAGATACTTGGATCATTGGTGCATGGGAAATTCTGAATTAAGATTGTTCAATCCAAGTAATAATCTAGCTAAACATGTACATATATGGTGGAATTGGAGTATATCAGGCACCAAGCAAAAAAAAAGAAGAATAGGACATACATTATGTAGGATACATAGATATAAGTAGCAAAAAGAAAGGAAATATAACCGACATCCTGTCACATCTGGCACGCACCATGAAACCTACAAGCGCTTGAGGAGCATGGGGAGCCCGTGCCTTGGGCGCAGGGTGATCACGTCCATGGGCGCGTGGACGTATTTGGGGACAGCTCGAGGGCAAACCTCTGCAAGATCATGGCGACCACGGCCTTTGCCTCGATCATTGCGAAGTTCTGACCGATGCACGACCTTGGCCCGCTGGAGAAGGACAGCAGCGCATTGGGGTACTTGGCCGCCCTTGTCACCCTGTTCTCGAACCTCTCCGGCTTGAACTCGCCGGCGTCGTCGCCCCAGACCTCCTTGTCACGGTGGATCGTCGCGATTGGAATGGTCAGGATCGCGCCCTCGGGTACCCTGACGCCGCCGAGGTCGAGATCTGATCCTGCCTTCCTCTGGATCAGGGACACCGGGCCGTACAGCCGCAGAGTCTCCAGGAGGAACATGTTGACTAGCTTCAACTTGTTGAGCGCGTCGCCGGTGGGGACCTCGTCGCCGCACTCCCGCCGCACCTCCTCCCGGAGCCTGTCCTGCCACCCGGGTGCGTGCTTAGAAGGAACGAGGCCCATGTGAGCAGGTGCGACGTGGTGTCGTGCCCGGCGAAGAAGAAGGTCTTGCACTCGTCGATGATCTCGTCCATGCTCAGCATCGGCGTCTCGCCGTGCTCCGGCGCGCACGCCTCCAGCATGAGCCCTAGCAGGTCGTTCCCGTAGCCGGCGGTGTCCTTGTTGGCGAGGCGGGTCTTTATGATGTCCATGAGCATGCCCCTCACCTGCTTGTCCAGCTTCCATGTCCGGAGGTTCTTCTCGGTTGGGAGGTACTTGAGGGCTGGGATCTGGACGTTGAAAAAGTGGAGAAGGCCAGGTACTGGAGCTCCCTCTGCGCCAGGAAGACCTGTTTCCCCTCGTCGTAGCTGCTCCCGAACGCCGTGTGCGAGATCACGTCGGCGGTGAGCTCCTCAAACCGGCTGCTCAGCTCGATCTCCACTTCACCGCCCTTCGCGAGCTGTGACTCCCACTCGGACATCATGGAGCGAGCACAGTCGGACATGGTGACCGTCATCATCTTGAGCTTGTCCATGTTGAAGGCCGGGTGCACGACCTTGCGGTGGCGCTTCCAGTCGTCGCCGTCGGTGAGGACGAGGCCCTTGCCGAGCAGGCGGGAGATGTGCGGGTTCATGAGGTTCTTGGGGTAGAGGCCGTTGCGGTCGAAGAGCACCTGCCTGACCACGTTGACGTCCGCCACGCACACGTTCGGCCTCGCGCCGGTCCAGTACACGAAGGTCCGCCCTGAAGCAGAAGAAACAAGACCGTCAGCGGCTGATGCAACGTGATCGATGGAGCCTCGAGCGTCGCGTCGCGTCGAAGCAGGGCGCCAACTAGCTAGCGATCGATGGACGCATCACGTACCGTAGAGCGCGATCCACTTGCGGAGGTGCGGCTGCACCATGGGAATGAAGTCATGGTCGTCGACGTCCAGCGTGACGGCGGCGCCCTCGCCGCGGAGCCGCTTGATCTCGCCGAGGCTCCCGGTGAAGAACCTGTACTCCGGGCCGCGCACGCCCTGCGCGCGGAACCTCCGGGTGATGGCGTAGGGGCGCCAGACGAGGTGCACCAGCGCGTTGAACGCCCACGACGCCAGCACCGCCGCGACGGCCGCCGCCACCATCCAGGCCACTCCCATGGCTCGCGGTCACTGCCTCTCTTTGACGAGCTGCTGCCTCTCAGTCAGATCTGCACGTACGGCAGAGTAGGAAATCTTCTACTAGACCGCTTGGTTTTCTCGCTGGGTTGAAATTGAAAGAAAGCTGGTTTTGCCGCTGACACTTGGATCGGAGGAGAGGTTGTTTGTGTCGAATGAATGAATGCTGAGGCTGGTGGAGTCTCCTGCTATTTATACCGTGTTTGTGGGTTTGACCTTTGACGTTCTAGTCGCCGAGCAAATTGGTGGTGGCCTGGTGGGCACCGGGCACGGCACCCGCGGGTTTGTCTGGTGAGATGAGATCAGTGATGATGTCACTGATTCTTTGTCTGGATGTGCACCAGCAGCTTGTGAACGGTTGTTGCAGGAGAGTGATGAAGAAGCCGCGTAGCCCTTGCTGTTTCTGGAAGACCAAGCCGTCTCAAATGTTTAGTTTAATTTACTCTGTCATTAGATAGTCTCATCACGTTTCAGTTTCATTATTAAAATTATACGAAACGTGCGAACACTTCAAGTTCACAGCGTATTGTACTTGAAGTAGATAAACCAGCACGCGCACGTAGTATATTAGCAGTCTTTTGTCGAAACGTTGGAAGGACAGAGGAAGCTGGTTGCCTGCTTGCGGAGTATTTGTTGATTCATTCTCGGTATGTAAAAATGGTGCGCTTGGATCTTGGACTCGCAATCACGGGTGACATCAGAACCTAGGTCAGCAGCACTACTACTTGTTTGAAGAAGGCGAGTGCGCGCATACAGTTGTAGTCAGCCTTCAGCTGCACGTACTCTTGTCTGTGTCCTACTGTCCTCTAGAAACAAATATCCGCTTAACGAAAAAGGGCATAAGATTGTTGAAAAAAAAAGTGTGGCTAGCGTCTGGACGTCTATATAGACGCGTGCATCCGAACGTCCGCACAACCTGCCTCCGTACGTCTCGCTCCGACTTGCATGTGCACCCCGCCCTCGACACTGCGCCCGCCGCTCCTCGCGTCCGGACGGCCACACACCCTGCACCCTCCTCGCATGCGCATCCTGCCTCCGTCGCTGCGGCCAGCTCCTTCCCCTGACCCCCTCATCACTCTCCATGTGGGCGGGACCCGAGAGTCGGCCCCGGCTCGGCCCCGTCCCCGTCCCCTAGCTTAGCTCATGCGCCCCATCCCTCGGCCCCGAGATGCGCGCCCATCACTTACCATGCCCCGTGAAACACTTGCAACATGAAACACTTAAATGCAACACACGTCTGACATGAAACATATTATATGCAATATATGTGTGAAACATATGCAACATAGAGATAAAACACTTGCAACATGCGTGTGAATCATATGCAACATCCGTAAAAATACTTGCAATCGGAGCCAATCGCAGCTTCTAGTTACGAACTCCGCCCTAGCTTCATAGCCATGGTTTAGGAACATACCTTCTTGGGGTTAGATTATGAAAACCCCTACCATCACCTAAGGGAGTTTGAGCAGCTCTGTGCTTGCCCGACCATCTCGGGTATGTCACAAGAAACTCTTCGGTGGAAGTTGTTTCCTTTCTCACTTGATGAGAGGGCGAAATAATGATATGCCCACAATGTAGGGAAGGTAGCTAGCGATTGGGAAGAACTAAGGAACATATTCTGTCTCTTGCGTTATGCCCTATATCCCTAATCACGCCCCTACGACAAGAGATCCTTAACTTTCAACAAAAAGAGAAGGAAACCATAGGAGCAGCCCGGGGACCATTTTTCAATCCTAACAAGGTCCGCCCAGACTTTTCTATACCAAGCCATGTGCTATTACAACATTTTTGGCTAGGACTTAGCAAGGAGTCTGCCCTACAGCTCGATATAGCTGCTGAAGGTTCTTTCACCCACAAAACCACGGCGGAAGGAGAAGCTCTCCTAGACCACATTCTAGAGAACACTCCCCCGCTAGAATCCCTCCGAATAGAACTAGAGCAATTTCACGAGGAAGTCTCTTCGACTAAGGCCGAACCAAGCACCTTTAGAGAAACCCTCGCCCAAAACCAGAAGATCCGAAGGAAGGTTTCCAACCTTCGGACCTTCAGCCGAGAGGATGACTTTTTCAATGATTTCGGAAACACCTCGAAATACTCATGTCAAAAGAAACCACTAGTTTTTGTCACTCCTCATGAACCTTTAGACGAAGAATCCCTTAGAGAATCAATCAAGGAGTTGATTGCTATCATGAGCATTGAATGGGTGGAAGAGGTAGAGTGTTCTTCTATAGAAATTCAGATTCACGTCCCTCCTTCAACCATCCGATGCAAGGTTCTTGGAACAATGGTGGATGTGCTTTACTCACCCACTGTTGGAGCAAATTTGATGTCTACATCTTTTGCATCTTCCTATTTTGGCAATGAACCCCTTGCTCCGACAAACACAACTTTTAGAGATAAACCATGGTCTATCCTAAAAGGACATGGAATTATGCACAATACCACAATTCATCACGATGATGCCGTAATGGCTCTCTACTTCCATGTCTTTAACATTCAGGATTTTGACATCATGATAGGGCATCCCCTAGAAAAGCTCTTTATAGAACCACCATCATCAGGGGATCTGAGCGTAAAGTTGGGGAGAGACACTTTTTCTATTTCTATCACTCGATCTAAAAACTCGATGGCAGAATCTCTCTCTGATCCAAAACGGCCCAAGGAAGTCATGTCGGTCTTGCCCTTTGATTCTCCTAAATCGTCCATAGAAAAGGATGTGAAACTCTTTGTAGAAGAAGAGGACGACTTAGGAGAAACCATTGACCTTCCCCAAGAGGAAGCACCGGCATGATCTCCGGTTGAGCTAAAACCCCTACCCGCTGGCCTACGTTATGCTTTCTTGAATGGAGATAAAGAAACTCCTATCATCATTAGTGATAAGCTGTCTGATGAGGAGACATCCAAACTCATCGTCATCTTAGAGAAACATAGGTCAGTTTTTAGGTATTCCCTACAAGATCTCAAGGGGATTAGCCCAACTCTCTGTACCCATCACATTCCGATTGATCTTTCGAGTACACCATCTCGAGAGCCTCAGCGTAGGCTCAATAATGCGATGTGAGAAGTCGTGAAGAAGGAAGTTCTCAAACTTCTTCACGTCGAGATAATCTATTCTTTATCACATAGTGGCTGGGTTAGCCCCGTCCAAGTGGTTCCAAAGAAAGGAGGAATGATGGCCATAGAAAATAACAAAAACGAGTTAATTCCACAATGAACTGCCACGGGCGAAAGAATGTGTATTGATTACCGAAACTCAATGCGGCAACCAAGAAAGACCACTTCTCACTACCTTTCATTGTTGAAATGTTAGGCGGTTGGCGAATTCATTCTTCTTCGTTTCTATGATGGGTATTCGGGTATCATTAGATTCCCATCCACCTCGATGATCAAAGCAAGACGACTTTCACATGCTCGTATGGAACGACGCTTATCACGTAATGTCATTCGGGTTGTGTAATGCACCCGCTTCATTCCAACGGTGCATGATGTGCATTTTCTTAGTCATGATAGAAGAAATCATGGAGGTGTTGATGGACGACTTTTCGGTCTGTGGCAAAACCTTTGATCACTGTTTGGAGAATCTAGACAAAGTCTTGCAACGATGCCAAGAGAAGGACACAGTATTAATCGAAAAGTGCCACTTCATGGTCCATGAGGGCATCGTTCTCGGGCACCTTGTGTCCAAGAGGGGGATTGAGGTAGACAAGAAAAAAATCAAGGTTATCGAGCAACTACCACCCCCTGTGAACGTGAAAGGAATCCACAGCTTCCTAGGTCATGCAGGGTTCTATAGGCGGTTAATCAAAGATTTTTCACAAATCGCTAGACCCCTCACGAACCTGTTAGCTAAGGATGCACCTTTTGAGTTCATAGATGATTGCTTAGATGCTTTCCACACTCTCAAGAAAGCACACATCTCAGCACCAATCATCTAACCACAGGATTGGTCGCTGTCGTTTGAGATCATGTGTGATGCTAGTGACTATGCTATTGGTGCGGTCCTTGGCCAAACTAAAGATAAGAAGCATCATGCAATCGCATATGCTAGCAAAACGCTGACAGGAGCTCAACTTAACTATGCTACCACAAAAAAGAGCTCTTAGCAGCTGTTTTTGCTATCGATAAGTTTAGGTCTTACTTAGCGGGTGCAAAAGTTATCGTTTATACTGATCATGCTGCACTTAAATACTTGCTCACTAAGAAAGTTATCGTTTGTACTCCAAGAATTTGACCTTGAAATAAAAGATAAAAATGGAGTAGAGAACACCGCTGCGAGATCATTTGTCGCGTGTGCAGTCACTAACATATAAAAACTTCCAATAAATGACTTCCTATGCGACGACATGCTACTAAAGGTGACGGATTCAAACCCATGGTATGCAAATATCATGAAATTCATGGTTTGAGGATACGTACCACCAGGGAAAAACAAAAAAAAAGCTAGTAAGCGAAAGTAGATTTACACCTTTGGGATGACCCATACTTGTACAAGGTATGCTTTGACTACTGTTAAGGAGATGTGTACCAACGACGGAAGGGTTGCAAATCATTGAGAAATGCCATGTAGCACCGTATGGAGACCACTATGGAGTATTCTACACACAAGCCAAAATCTGGCATTGCGGATTCTTCTAGCCGACAATGTACGAAGACACCAAAGAATTAATCCAAAGGTGTCAGAAATGCTAGCTGTAAGGTGGCATCACGACTCGCAATGCAATGCCCCTCCACTACAACCTACAAGTGGAGATCTTCGATGTCCGGGGCATTGACTTCATAGGACCATTTCAAAAGTCCCATGATAGTGAGTACATCCTTATCACCGTGGACTACGATCAAAATGGGTGGAAGCATTACCATGCGAGAGTCACGGACGCTTAGGCACGCAAAAAGATGTTCCATGAAGTGATCTTCCTCGCTTTGGAACACTAAGAATGATGATAAGCGATAGGGATACCACTTCATCGACAAGACCTTCG